CTCATGATTCGGGTTGACTGTACAAGCCATCTCTGCCCAAGACGTTTGCTCTTCCTGCCGTGGTCTCATCGATCGGGGCGGTCGCTCGTCGATCTGGCGCTCGCGCTCGGCATTCGGATCGCTTGTCGGGCCAGCGCGGGGCTTTCTCTCTCCCAGGTCACCTCGCAGGTGCCGTCGGCGCGCACAAAGGGGGTTGGCGCCAGGGGGGGGGCCTTCTGAGCAGGCGGCGCGCTCCTTGGACGGCAGGGGCCTTCTCAAGAAGGGGCCTGCAGGCTTCCAAGAAGGCTTCTTGGAAGCCAGGAGGAGGAGGAGGAGGAGGAGGAGGAGGAGGAGGAGGAGGAGGAGGAGGAGGAGGAGGGGGAGGGGGAGGGGGAGGGCAGAGGAGGAGGGGGAGGGCAGAGGGGGAGGAGGAGGCTTCTAAGAAGGCTTCGTAGAAGGTCTCTGCTTTCGTCGAGGCCCCCCCGCCGCCGTCTTGGAGGGCCGCCCTCCTCGCGCTGCCCTCCCCCCTCGCGTGCGCGCTCCGCCACAGGTGGGGGGCGCAGACATGCCCGTGGCCATCACGCTCCTCAACAGCGCGTCGGGCTGGGCGCTCACCGCCGAGGGCTTCGTCCTGGACAACACCCTGCTGACCATCGTCGGTGCTCTGATCGGCTCGCGGGCGGCGCTCGCAAAGGGGGCGGAGCGGTGTGGGGGGGGGCTCCTGAGGAAGCCACAGGGCGGGGTGCGGAGATTCTTGGGAACCACCCCCCTCATTCAAGAAGCGAAGAAGAAAGGGACTACATAAACATTCAAGTTTTCGACACTCCGCGCGGAGTTTCTGGATCTGCGCTGGGCCCCCCCCCCTGGCGGCGCCTCCAGCGCCTCCCCTGGCTCTCCTGGACCTTAAAGACTTCGATTCGGAGATCGACTACATGAGAGATGTGCCCCAGATTTGTTGTTTGGCGAGTCTACGAAGAACACGTAGGATGCACCGCAGATTGACAAGCCTTCGAAGTAGTTGTGTGTAGATCGGACTGAAACACACTGTTGGGCGGCTCAGTCCTGTAGTCCATGTCCCACAGTCGGACCGAGGTATCAGATCGACGTCGGTTCGGGAAGGGTACCCTAGTGTTCTTCGTGTTAGCGGGATGTTCTTGTGCATCCAACACGCACGGGGTACCCTTGGATGTCCTGTTCGTTTTGGCCGACGCAGGGTCTCTCATGTTCTCCAGGGATGCTCCTCTGGCCCAGGTCCAGCTGCACGCGAAGTGTGCCCCAGCCTTCTCCTCGAGGGCCGCCCCTGGCTCCCCGCCCTCCCTGTGCGCGCCGCCGAGGCTCTTCGGGCGCCATCCTCAGCCAGATCATGTGCGAGGCCATGAACGCGAACCTCCTGGACGTGCTGGGCGTCACGCGGAAGGAGCAGGCTGTCAGAGGAGGCCAAGGCACATGCCGAGAGCCTTACCGTTGCCTCGTTCGCCCTCCTCCTCTTCCAGCTTCTCCTCCTCCTCCTCCTCCTCCTCCTCCTCCTTCTCCATCTCCTCCTTCTCCTGCTCATCCTCCTGCTGCTCCTCCTCCTCCTCCTCTTCCTCGTTGCCTCGTTCGCCCCCTCTGGGGCCTCCTGGGAGATCCTGGTCGCCACCGCCGGATTCGCCTCGACGTCATGGTCCGGACGCGCCCGGGGAGAGGTCCGGGCAGCAGCGCGGTATCGGTGCCGTTTGGCTCGGCCGTTGCTAGAAGTGCCCCCCCCGGCCCGAGGTGCCCCCGGGATTTCCAGGGGGGCCCCCACGGCCTCCAGAGCACCCCTTCGCGCTCGCTGCTAGCTTCGCGTTGTGCAGTCTCGCGCAGGTAGGAGCTTGAGCCTTTTGCACTCGGATGCTCCTCCCTCCGTAGCATTCGAGTTATTTCCCAGCCTCGGCTGGGATCTGGAGGTGGCGGCGTGGAGCCCCCCCCCCCCAACAAAAAAAACTCCAGAGCACCCCTCACGAGGCCCAGAGGGCCCCAGGGGCCCCAAAGTTGAACGACGAGCTGGGGGCACCTTGAGCCAGTGGGGCACCTTGAGTAACCCCCGATCGGTTTCCCCAGGTTGGTGGCGGCTCCACCTTCGAGATCGAGGGCGAGGTCACGACGACGAACCTGGACGCCGTCGCCGAGCAGCTCGTCTCCGCGAAGAAGGCGGGCCCCGTGCAGGGCGTTCCAGGAGGGGCCTTCCCTCGAGAGGCCTGGTGGAGGAGGGGGACGTGCCGCCTTCGGCGGGGCGTTGTCGGCAGGGGCTTGGGGAAGCCAGTGCCAGTCAAGCAAGGCAAGCTAGTCGCGCCAGCGGAAGCCAGGGGACCGTCGGTGGAATCTGGCGGACTCTATTCAGTGTTGACCCGCCACGAACTAAGTGTTGGCCAAAGAGGTCAACGCTGGTGCGCTTGAGGTTCCCAGGGCCGCGCATGTCGATTCGACCGATTCGATTCGATATCAATCTTCCCGCTCGATCCGACCCGGCTTCGGCGTTCTTGCGATCCCACGCGGACCTCTCACAGTTGATGTTATTGCAGTTGTTAGTTTTTCTTGTGTGCCAGCCCGAGTTAGTTTGTCGATGCGATGCTGGCTTCCCACATACAAGGTGATGATCGTGCCAGGCTACGGCGTTGCCGTCTCCAAGGCCCAGTACGCGATGGCGGACCTCATCGCGACGTTGACGAAGGAGGGCGTGGACGTGAAGGTGGCAGACAGAACGGAAAGAGGGCATGGAGGGGGTAATTAGGTGGATGTGAAGGGGGGCTTGGAGGAGGTAATTCGGGACCAGCGTGATTTGGTCCAGCGTACGGAAAGTGGGAGGGAATTCGAGGGAGGAGGAGAGGCGGAGGAGGGGAATGAGGAACTGGATGATGACGAGGAGGAGGAGGAGGAGGAGGAGGCGGAGGAGGAGGCGGAGGAGGCGGAGGAGGCGGAGGAAGAGGAGGCGGAGGAAGGAGGAGGAGAGGAGGAGGAGGAGGAGGGAGGAGGAGGAGGAGGAGAGGAGAGGGGCGGAGGAGGCGGAACTGGGAGAGGTGGAGGAGGAGGAGGAGGAGGAGGAGGAGGAGGAGGAGGAGGAGGAGGAGGAGAAGGAGGAGGATGCCGCGGGCGCGCAGCAGGTCGCCATCCACCCCGTGGCCGGGCGTATGCCTGGGCAGCTGAACGTGCTGCTGGCCGAGGCGGGCGTGCCGTACGACCAGGTGAAGGAGATGGAGGACCCAGCGGCCGAAGATCGGGACAACATCGGATCGGGATAACTCGAAATCTCTGAGAATCGGCGGGTTTGGAGGATGTATTGGGCGCCGCGGCCGCTCCAGAGCGTTCCGGAACGCTCTGAGAGCGCTCCGGAACGCTCTGGAGCGATTTATCCCGATCCTAGCTCTGTTTTAGCCGGTGGAGGGGCAGGGCTGGAGGGTTTCGGGACTCCAGAGACGGGGGTCAATGCAAACGGGGGCCAGCCAGAGCGCTCGACCTTGCAGGATGCTGCAGGGCCAGGGTCGCATTGACCTGGGTTTGGGTGCAGGATCCTGCAGGATCTTGCAGGATCCTTCGCGTTGACCCGAGCTTGGGGGCAGGATCCTGCGGGGCCTTACAGGATCCTGCAAGGCTGGACTGACCAGGGTCTGGATTGACCGGGTCAGCAGATCCCCGGAAGGTGTTTCCCAACCTTCCGTTGTTGGTGAATACCCAGACATGGGAGGTTTTTGGCCAATTGCGCCCTCGGGGAGCCTTCGGTGGGCCTCGGGACCGTCAAAAAATAGCTTAGGACGAAAAACTGGTCCCGGGGAGTGGGTCGGGACTTCCAGGGACCCCCTATTGAAAAAATCAAGACGTCGCATGTCTGGGAATAGAGCACTGTTGTCGCGTCCTCCTCCCGCCTCCCTCCCGCCCCCGCCCCCCCTTGGGGGGCTGCGAAACTGTCTGTCGCCACTTTCAGGGGCTGCTGGTGGGGCCAGCACAGTGTTGCCATACGCGGATTTAGATTAGACCTCGCCATCCCTGGGGGGCTGCGGTCTGCGAAACTGTCGCCATTTTCAAGGGCTTCTCGGGGGAGCCAGCACAGTGTCGCCGTACGTGGACTCAGACTGGACCTCGCCATCCCTGGGGGCTGCGATCTGCTAAACTGTCGCCCTTTTCGAGGGCTTCTGGGGGTGGGTGGGGGGGGCAGCACAGTGTCGACGCCATACGCGGACTCGCCATCCTTTGGGGGCTGCGATCTGCTAGTGCAGGGGGCAGCACAATTACGCCATACGCGGACTCTGATTGGTCCTCGCCATCCCTTGGAGGCTGCGGTCTGCGAATTTGTCGCTACTTTCGAGGGCTGCTGGGGGAGGGGGGCAGCACAGTGACGCCACACGCGGATTCAGATTAAACCTCGCCGTCTTTTTTGAGTTGCGATCTGCTAACCTGTCGCCACTTTCGAGGGCTACTTTGTGGGCCAGCACAGCGTCGCAGCACAAGGATGATGTTTGTGATAGCGATCGCAGCACAAGAACGATCGCAATTTCGAGGGCTAATTTTGCGAATCGCCGCACACACCCACTTTCGAGGGCTAATTTGGCTGATCGCAGCATAAGGATGAGTTTGATGGTGATGGGGATGGTGATGGTGGTGGTGACGATGTTGTTGATTGTGATGGTGATGATGGTGATGGTGCTTTTGATGGTGGTGATGATGATGGTGAGGAGGAGGTGGAGCAGGAGGAGGAGGAAGAGGAGGAGGAGGAGGGAGAGGAGGAGGGAGAGGAGGAGGGATAGGAGGAGGGAGAGGAGGAGGAGGAGAAGGAGGAGGAGGAGGAAGGACGAGGAGGAGGAGGAGGAGGGAGGAGGAGGGAGGAGGAGGAGGAGGAGGAAGGGAGGAGGAGAAGGAGGAGGACGACGAGGAGGGAGGAGGAGGGGGAGGGGGAGGAGGCGCAGGGGGGGGGGCGGGCGGAGGCCTGCCACGCTTGCCGCGCGTCGCTGGAGAGGAGATCAACGACCCCAGCGACTGGGGGGACGTCGACGTCTCGCTGGTGGTCG